CCAGTACCTCAAGGTAAATTCCATTAGTGCTTATATTGATCAATGCTAAGTGATTGTGTGTCAGCTGACAGACCAAGCTACCTTACAGATGGAGGCCAATAAAGTCCAGGTTTCTACTTTGTCTCAAGACACACATAACTATACCGTATATGAACAAAAACCTCCCATTGTTCTCAGGTGTTAACAATGTCCATGGTGTAAATACAACACTGTCAGAGTTACAACATGTTGAAGTATGCGATAAATCTCAACTGAAGACATACGAGGTGTCACTGATTTGACACATAACAGGAAAATCACAGGCTATCCTCCATTGCACCATACAGTTATTCAACAATACTTGCTCCCCTGTTTGAATGAACAGTGTTAACTCAAACATACTCCAGTATGTTGAAAACTGCCTTGAATAAAGTCTTAGGTCCTGAGTAGATAAAGGCTACACCATAAATGAGACATTACTAAATATCAAATTAATAAAACGTACCACCATGGTTTTGTAAAAGAGTGCAATTAAGGAAACATTGTAGCCTGCTATCAGATACTGTACTTTCAATGAGAATAAGCTCCTCTCTGAAACAGTAACTTAAAAGCAACAAAATGTAAACAAGGATCCAACAACAAACACTGAAACACAAAGTCAGAAACGTATTGTTAGGCCTTTGAATTCAGGGAAGGACAAAGGTGTCAAAAGTGTGTTTCCATCAAAAATCAAAAACCAAAATCCATCCCAGTATGTTCAGATATGAACAGTTCAGAAAGAATGTTTTTTTTATTTTTAATAATAATAGTGGCTATACCTATGGGCTGTACACTACTGAAAGTAAAGCCACCTATTGCAGTAAACCACCAGGTCCTGCAGATAGTTACAGCAGGTGAATGGGATAGGTCAGATATTGCATTCAGGTAGTAGTTTTATGTTGGACAATCATCAGCCACTATTGCGTCCTGCTCCAAAATAAACACTAGAGGGAGACACAGACCAGAGATATTCTCAATCTTCATGCCTCAACTGAAGCTTGTATAGGACCATCAGTTTTTGCTTGAAAATTAAAACACACATTTCATGAGGTGTTATAAAAACAGGACAGGTTATCAAATATGGAGTCTTTAAAGATTAGATATGCTGATACACAATAAAGCCGTATCGTAAAATTAATAGCTTTATATATTCTGTCTTGTAATATCATGTATTTATCCTTTTTATTTTCTATTTTCTCTTATTTCTTTGATTCTTCTTATATTTTTTGCTTATAAGTCCATAGAGAGGATTTTCAAAGCATTGTTTAACACATAAATGTAAAACTGGTTACCGACTATTTAATAAATTCATACACAAAGAAAAATACATTAGGTAAATGCAATATCCACTGTTATAAAAGCATGTAATGAATGCTTTGGTTTAGATTTACTTTCATGATCACGATTTGGGAAGTTGTTCAGTAAGAGCATGAGTTAACAATGAAACAACATAACATAAACATATGTAGATATGATTATAAAAGAGATATAGGTTATATCAAAAAGAGTTGCAAGCAGGTTTATTCTAAGTCATTTGTTAGGTCCAAAGACTCTCACAATTGTTATTATTTATTATGCATTTACGTGATAGGATTTTAATGGGGTCTATAATTTTGCTGTTCGGATATTTTTCAAATTTGGGGCAGCGTTACATCATTCCCGGAAAGCGGAGTCCTTCCCTACCATATAAGGAGAGGGGGCGCTCGGAATATCTACGTCACGACCGAGGAGGCGTGTGTTACGGGAAGTGAGTCGACTCTATAATCTCTGCGTAATAATACCAACGTGAGCCCTGAGAAGTTATCCGAGGGGGCCACACTGGACAAAGCAATGAAAAGATTGTAACCTATAACAAAACGTATCCTATGGAAAGCAAAGTAAATAGATGCATTCCATTTTCCACATAAAAAAATTGAAATTGAAAACTCAATATCTAAATATAGATGCTCAGTTTTGGGTAATCTGAGTCTGAGTGACTGTAGCTCTATAGATCATTTGAAAATAAAGATATATCGTTTTAGCCTGGCTCTTACTTGGAGCTTTAAAATGTGTGTTGCCTTAATTTTTAGGTCTTAAACATTGGTTTTCATACATTTTTGAATATATTGATTCTGGGGACAGGTTATTTTTTGTATTGCTCATTGATTTAATTGTTTAGTCAGACCATGGACTGATTTTATTGAGTAACTTTTATTTATTTTTGTTATCTTGCTCTGTGAAGCCCTTTGGGCTGCATGCTTGTATGATCTGATTGGCTGTGGTTTTAGGATTGTTAGGCTATTTAAATGAAGTTGAAATAGGGTTTAATGTTGATTAGGCCTATAAAAACTGCAAACAAAACGTTGTCGAGACTATACTAAAGCAGCTTTCTTTTGTGTTTTTTGTACTTTGTTGTGTTTTTTTACTACCAAAAGTGGGGCAACTATGTAATATTTTGTGTAACTTTACTTAAGCGTACATTTAATTTTTGGTTAGTTTTGCAGACAGCAACAACAACACTAGAGGTCAGTGTCGTCTTACGATTCATTATTTCCCCACTCAACCATGTTTGTCAGTGATTAACCATACAGACTATGGATTAAACCAACAACGTTGCAGCAACCTTCTGAACCACATCTTTCAGGCTGATTTCTAGAAGGAATCCAGATTTTATCATAAAATAATAGCCAAAGTATTTTACTAATCTAATTTCAGAGTGCTGAAAGCCAAACAGGCTAAACTGGATGCCACCGTATCTAATATTTCCTCAGCATTGCACCTGTCTCTACGTACTTGCAGTGTAGTGCAGACATTGTTGCAAAAGGCAAACAAACAAACATTTCTGGACGGCCAAGCCCTTCTGAACCTGGCAGCTCAGTGTAATAGGCACACATACATTGATTTGTTGTTGGGCGCTGGACCACAGGTAAGTATCAAACCTGTTGGTCATTATTTTAGATATTTGATTGAGGTAAATACGTAGTCGGCCTTGGACTAGGCCAACTCTTCCCTTGTGGAAGCTGTTTGGTAAACTTGCTGCGGTTGGCCAAAGCCAACCTAAACACGGTTCCACGCTTCTCTATAACAAAGCAGCTGGTGGGCATGCCAGCGTGGTTTTAGCTATTCTACAGTAACTCAACAACAAGGGCACAATGGAGAAGAATGCATGGAGGCTAACACCACTTGATGCTGCAGCTGAGAGGGGCCACAAACGTGTGCTTCTTCGTGAGGCTGTGGTTAAAGACATCACAGTAAAGAAACAATCTGCACTGTCCTGCACGAGGCAAACACCGGGAGGTGTGCTTCTTCGTGAGGCTGTGGTTAAAGACATCACAGTAAAGAAACTACTCTGCACTGTCCTGCACGAGGCAGACACCGGGAGGTAGTGAGGAGACTGGGGCCAAGCGGGGAACATCTTAACGTTGGGAAGACACCTCTGCAGGTGGCAAAGAGTAGAGACACACCAGACCATGAGTGCATTGCAATTTTACTCATGAAAAATATGTTTCTTATCAAATTACGTAAGGGGAGTTAATAATACAAAGGACAGGAAGAAAAAGCCATCTTAATTAACTTTTATAAACGATGTGCTCAGGGGGCGTTTCTCAATCTCGAGGATACTGGCTTCCAAGCCAATATTTCAAGGATGCTACGTCATCGAGTGCCGCAGAAGGACTGTTCCAATGTCCAGCATTCTTGGAATCCCACCAAGGCCGCGTCCTTGGTTTGGGGGAAATTTCGAGGCTGCACATGGGTAGACTTTGCGTCCTTAAAATCCCCACAATGCTTTGCGCACGGACCAATTTAAAAAACCCTTGCGGAGAATGGCTGAACCGACGCAGCACACATTTAAATGTAAGTAGTGGCGTAGAACATGTGTTGGTAAATATGTTACTTTGTTACATTTGTTTGTTATCACCAAAAATGTGTTCTGTG